TAGTGTAAAGATAAGGCATGAATACAAAAGAGCAAAGTCCCAATAATCTCCAATGAAGGGTTGGGCAGCTTTGGTCTTGACAGATAACTACAAAAGGACGTGAAAATTGACCATTGTAATGAATTATAAGTCACCTCCTTTTGGTTTTGTCCAAAAAAACTCAGAAATAAATTATTCCTTGGAAAAACACAATCATACAACACAAAAACACCAAGCCTTTATTAGGATGACTACGAAACCCAGGCATCTAGCCTGCATCAGAGGACACAAGACTAAATGATTCATTTGCACAACGCAAGAACAATCCCAGCATTAGATCAAGGATTCACTCAGGATATGAGACATGTGGACAAACAGAGAGTGTCTGCACATGGAGGCACAGAACATATGTCTTGGGATTTGTGTCATTTCAAGGCACCCTTTTAGTTAGGACATAACTATCAGTTGCTACATTGCTTCAGTTCTATCATGCTAGATCCCTTTTAATGTGGAATCTTTGCATAAGAAAACAAAGCTCAGACAACTTGCATCAGTTGCAGGAGTTAGTGCTTCCTTGAACAGTGAACACAGCTCAGTATGCTTTAAGAAAAGAGGAAATAATTCTCCCCTTTTTCCACCTTCCCAGTATGATCCCACAAGACAGGCAAAGTTAAGTTGGATGTGAGCTGTGAATGTAGCTTTTAGAGAGAAAATGGATCAATTTAGATGAGTAATAATCTTGAATTTGCTTTCATATCAATAGAACCTGAAACACCACCTAGATATTAATCTGGTCTGCATAGGAAGTGTTGTCTTGTGTGATGGTGCATGTATCAGGAAAAGGCCAAGTGGAAGTTTGTCATCAGGGGTCAAGGAAAATGATGGTGCAAATTGTAGGAACATTAATTTGAAGGGAAATAGAGATTTCCATTGAGAAAGTTGAGAACCCATACTGCTCCATCCTCTTGTGGGCATGACATGGCCCATTCAAGCTGTCGTCTCTCAACCCCTTATTTTTTTGGATGCATTGCACCTGAATTTCTTTTCTTCATTTCAATCATTCATTATATCAATTGGAAACATCTTGGATTCTGTTTACCTATGTTTTGATGGATGGACCACTTTTTGGTGTTCCTACTAGTACCGTCTGTATACATTTGTCGTTATTGTTGGATGTTGGATGTTGGATGTCACATCTGGTTTTGGTGATCCTAATACTGTCTGTATACATTTATCATTCACTACTTATTGGTGATTATAAAGACTTTTGTGACAACGCAGTTGATTAAATAGGTAAGGATAGGACAGAACATATGGATAGCTGCGGGAAACAAAGTCACTGACTGCTTGAAAAATTGATTTCTTCCAGGCTGCTATGCATCATTGTTGTTTTTATTTTGGTCATTTGTTCTTTTTTCCTTAGTACTTTGGCATGTTTTGTTACTGTCACTCTTTTTCTGTAGAGGTTATCTGATAGAGCAGGGGTGCATCTTGATTTGTCAAAACGGTATCATTCATGTTCATACACGACCACCAATTAATCCAGCCCACCAGATAGAGATGCAGGTGGAATTAAGTCCCAGATTTAAGTATTCACACTCCAGGGCCTCAAAAATCAAAAAGAAATAGCAAAACGGTCCATACTAGATTAGGTGATTTATATTTACACCGAAGTTCAGAAATCTTTCTTCTTCACGCTCAGAAACCAATAGGGCATACTGTCTTGCTAAATGAGCATGACAGGGTTATTAGATGGACTAGTGAAAGGTTTTTAATCATAATAAATTTAAATGCATCACAAAAATGGATATGATTCTGCAATCATAGGATGCTACAGACAACATATTTGAATTTGAAACAAAAAATAGAAAGACAAACTTTCTTATTACTTTGAATCCTAATTCTCAACCTTCTATGAAAAGAACTAGTGACAATGTAATCAGGACATCTGGAAGGTACCAAGAAACAGATTTGACGTTCAGACACACTTTGCTTCTTATCTGAAAACAGATTTGATTTTCAGTAAAGAGAGGTTGGAAGCATATTCTTGTTCTTTATAGGAACAAGGGCTAGGGGCCAAAAGTGCATTCAAAGTGGCCATGTCGATTGGAAGGAAGTCTGCTCTCCATATCTATCTCTTTCCCATTTCTCCATCCCTTGTGCCACCTGTGTACTTGTCCCCTGCATCATAGAACAGATAATACTACTCATCTTATGTAATTAAACATAAAATTTTTATATGCATCATACACAGCGCAGTTGTTTTTCCTTAAGCATGTCTGAATGTTCATGCATCCACTTTGAAAACGAAACAACAATAGTCCAGCCATCTTGATGGAAGTAGTTCATTTATTCAGGTTGCTTACTTTACTAATATATATAAATATATATATAAAAGGCAAAAGGATCAGATTTCATTCATTTTTGTTCTAAGAAGATTTTAGAAGTCAATGGATGTATGCCGATAAAAAAAAAAGAAGTCAATGGATGTATACCTCTGCCTTCAAGCCATAAGAGGAACACGCTGCAGCTAGCTCCATCGAGAGAAACTGAATTTGGTGAATTAAAGGAAAGATTGAAGGATATTAGGTAAAAGAACTTTTGGTGTATTAACTTCTTAGCAGAAAAGTACAAAGATTTGATAACATGTTTCTTGGTACATATCCAGTTTACCTCAACTTGATTTTGCAATGAATGCACATAGTTGATTATCTCATCTAGCATAACGGCCATGCCTTTTGTCTGCAAATCCATTGATAAACATTGGTTAATCCATATAATCAAAGAACTTGATCTAGGTACTCATAGCAATATGAAAGTCTTACCTTGTGGCATCCAGGAACAATGTCTTTCAAACACCTCATTTTCTCATTGATTTTCGTTCTTCTTACCTGATAAAGAAAATAATTTTGCTAAGGTTTGAGTGTTTTCATCATCCAAAATTAATAGTTGGTGCTCCATTTTTATTGATTATGCTCAAAATTTTGGGAAAAACATACAAATATACCCTTTCTGCTAAACTGTGGTTATCAGTAGCCTGGCCTCTCTTTGCTCTAACATGAACTACTTCATCTGGTTTCTCTGGATTGTTCTCATCGCTCCTTCCTCTTCTCCCCTTTTCTGTTCTCTGTAAACATCAATAAGATAAAGCAGGATAGTGTAAATGTCACAGAAAGATAGGAAATCCAGACCTCAAATGAATTTCAGAACTGAAACTTGAGAAAGAGAGGAATTCAACAGATGGAAAACGCACATTCCTTTTTCTGCTACTGGTATTTCCTCCAAATTCAGATGTAGAAACTGCAGGAGAAATGTTGTGGAAGCAACTTGTAGACTGCTCCACTGCTTTTCTCTTGTTGCTTCCAAGTAAAACATTGTCATCTGCAATGATGGACTGGAGAGCTGGTGATGCAGAAAGGCTGCAGCTGCTGTGCAAAGTACTTGACAGGTTGTTATGAATAAAGCATGGTGCCATTGGCAAAAAATCAGGTTGCTGGTGGGCCAACGAGGTTTCTAGGGAGAAGTCTGCAACATTAAAATTCTCCAGTATGGTTTGGTTGAACTCAGAAGGCTGCTTTGTCATTTCCATGCTGATATCCATTTCTAAGATAGGATGGGAAACTTTAAACCCTTCCAAATAAAGAGTGGTTTTAGAGACCTAAATTATGGTGTATATTATGATAATGGGATTGAGACTGCTATATATAAGGTGCCATATAACTGAGCTAATGGCAAATTGGGTTCATCAGTGAAGACAGGAGGAAAAAAATTGTGGAGCTCCCAAGTGGAACTCATTTTTCTAATCCTGAATTTCTTTTGGTAGGCGCCACGCGGTGGATTGCAGATATGCAGTGGAATGGGCCCTTGTAAATTGTTGGGGTGGGGCTAGAACATTGGAACATTATGATGATATATGGTATAAGGTCTATTTTCTATTCCTTCCAAATAAGATAATGAAATCCATGAAATAAAGGAAGAAAGGCCAACCCATTTACATATACAAGGCAAAACTCTATCTTTAAATGTCGCGGGTATGGTCCATTTAAATTGTTTATATCCAAATAAAAATAATGAGATTTAAATCTATGCTTTTATTCTTTCCTCCTTTTTTTTCTTTTTTGGTCTAGTCCTTGCCTTTTCACACAAGTAAATAGTTTGATTTTAGGATAGTGGTCAGAATTCAAGAACATGGACTCGAGACTAAAAAGTGTTTCTGGTGAGCTACAAGGAAATTGTCCCTACCGGTTAAGTGGGACTGGTGAAGGTTAAATGACCCTTTCGATGAACAAAAGACCATAGCTTGGGAAGCACAGTTGTTGGGGCAGAACACTGCACTATGAAATTGGTGTAAGACTTACTATACAAACCAACAATGAATCGACGACTTAACCTCTCAGTGGGGTTAGGTAGGGTACCTCAGACAGACGATTTAATCTATAGAAACATTAAGTTCTGCTCATGGATAATAAGGATGATAATTTAGGGAAAAAATATCTAACAGTTGGAAATGAATTAGATTTTTATTTTTAGTACCTCAAACTTATTTGAGGCCAATTTAGAACAGAGAATGTTGTAATGTTGTATGCATATAGATAAACTCTTAATATTAGAGACATACTCCATCTATCAATGATTAAGTGAAATATAGTCTAATTAATTATTTAAATAATTTATTAATGATCTTTTTTAACTGGAAATAAAAAGTTCGAAGTTCGAGTTGTACGGCATGTAGGTAAGTGAATTAAAAGATGAAAGAGAATTGGTTTTTATTATACAAACCTAAAATCAAGAAATAAAGTGCAATCTATATAGAGTGAATTGTATTTCACTTTTCTATTTAGTATATTAAGACCAAAGTTATTAAAAAAAGAGACATGAGAACTATTCCTACTATTTAATTCAACAAGAACAAATCAAAATGTGTATTCTTTAAAATGCGTAATTTGATTGGTTCTTAGAAAATTAAATAGCAATAGAATCATATTATATTGTTAGTACCCAACTCAACCTTAATGGAGAGACGAAAGTGACATGTTTTCATTTATTTTGCTTTATTAGCTAAATTTTATTACACAAAGCTAAATTGAAAAAATAAAATAAAACAAAACAAAATAAGTTCATGGGTTAAATAGGAACATTATTTTTCCTTTATGTACTAAATTGTATTTTAATCAAAAGTATGAGGATAATCTCAATTATCCCTAAGAACACCGTCGTTGTATCTAAGATTCTAAGCCGTCCGATTGGAAATCTCGTGCCGTTGATTTTTCCCAATGTCATTAAACCCTCGTCTGCGATAAAGCCTCTGTCTTTTAGCTGCAGTAGCTGAAGCCCAGGATTCTCCTCGTCTCGACTCCAACCCCCCTTCGCTTCTCTGCTTGGTAAGCTCTTTAGTTGGACTGCTTCTCTTCTCTCTGTTTTTCGTTATATGGGTTTTCTTCATCATCTTCTACATGGCCGTGATATGTGAGAGATCCAAGCTGCTACATATGTTTGTTTATGCCATATAATGTTGTTATAGTAGTAATATAGTCTTTTACAAGAAATGGGCTGCCTTGTTTTAAGCATTTGCCAACTGGGTGTTCGTTTTTTTTTTTTTTTTGATATATATCTTGTTTGCTCCGATGTCTCTGGGATAGCAGCTTTTGTGTAGTTGATATTTGGAGTCATTCAATGGGTTTCTAAATCTTTGGTTGGATTTCCGATATTGTGTTTCTGATTGAAGGCATTGTTTCCTTTGGATTTCCTATGCAGTTAATGTATTTTTGCTGCTGTAAAAACAAGTTTGGCATCAAAAGATTAAGATAAGGATGCATGCCCTCTTTTCGTTTTTGTAGCTTTGTACTAAATAATTGCATGGAGCTTGAATGAGTTCTACTGTCTTGATGTTGTCTACTTTGGAAGCAGAAGTTTTTCTTTTGATAATAATCAATGAGTTCATTGTGTGAAGTGTTTTATTGCAAAATGAAGTACAAGCATCTTTGTTCTTCATTGCCATCAAGTTTTAGATTGTAATTCATCATTTGGAACGGGTTTGTATCCCCAGAATACTCAAGGTTCATAATCTCTTCCAGATAATAAGATTGAATTATGAAAATTTTCTCTGTTGGTTGTGCCATTTCTATGATAACTTTTATGGAAGTGTTCTACTGTACATTTTGGGTTATTATATTTTTACTAAGAGTTAGCATTGTAATATTTTGCCAATACTTTTCATGCTTACCTCAAGGAGGCATGCTATTTCTTTTGGGTTTCTATTGGCTGTATACCTGAGTCATAGGTGATGTTGTAGCTAGCCACTAATATGTTGGAGAAAGTGGTCCTTGTTAGATAACCTTTTTGTCTGTAAATTGTATGTCTTTTGAAAAATCAGATTCAGCCTTTGTTCATGTGTATCTTAACCTGCTGTAGTTGATAATCAGATCTGCCAAGATGTACACCTCAAGGAAGAAGATTCACAAGGACAAGGATGCCGAACCTACTGAATTTGAGGAATCAGTTGCACAGGTTGGCTTATTTAGCTTCATAATGATGGGCAGCTCTATTCTCTAGCTAATTAAAAAGTAGAAAACTTAATGGTTGATGGATTGCAGGCACTATTTGATTTGGAGAATACCAACAATGAATTAAAAAGTGATTTGAAGGATCTCTACATCAACTCAGCAGTGTATGCATGCATTGTGTTTGCTTCACTTTAAATTTTCATGTTTGCTCTTATCTTTTTTCAACCATTTCCCACCATTCATGTAGATATTTCAATCTTGCAGTCAAATGGATGTATCTGGAAACCGCAAAGCAGTTGTTGTTTATGTACCCTACAGATTGAGGAAGGCATTCCGCAAGATCCATCTTCGCCTTGTCAGAGAACTGGAGAAGAAGTTCAGTGGAAAGGTATGCTATTGGACTTCATTAAAGGAAAGATTGTTAATCTTACAGGACCTTTTGTTGTGTGACATGAGACAATGTTAAAATGATTCTATGAGTCTTCCTTCAAACATTGTATTCATATTTTTGCTGAACTCAGAATAAAGAAGTTGCATTTTGCTTCTGAGCTCCAATTGTTGTTTCAAGGCTTATTTGCAGTCCATTTTATGTCGCAGGATGTTGTCCTCGTTGCCACCCGTAGGATAATGCGCCCCCCTAAGAAGGGCTCAGCTGTTCAGAGACCTCGCTCCCGTACCCTGACTTCAGTCCATGATGCCATGCTTGAGGATGTAGTCCATCCTGCTGAGATAGTTGGCAAGCGCATTAGATACCACATTGATGGGGCCAAAATAATTAAGGTAGTTGAGATACTTCCTGACTTCCTGTTTAGCATGAGCAGAAAATATAGAATTTCATGTTATGTATAGTTTTATACATGTCTCAGCTAACCATAATTTCTCACCATTTGTCAGGTTTTCTTGGATCCCAAGGAGCGAAACAACACGGAATACAAGCTGGAGACTTTTGCTGGAGTTTACAGGAAGCTTACTGGAAAAGATGTGGTTTTTGAATATCCAGTTACTGATGCCTGAAGAACTTTCATCAATGCTTCTCTGTTTTGTTATTTTATTTTAGAGCTCAAAGTTGGGTAGTTTTGTTTTTTTTTTTTTTTTGGTTTAAATTTTGAGTGACAAGTGAAACTTTTACAATGTATTATTACTTATATAAATTTATGCATGAAGGTGTTTTGAACTCCACAACCTTCTTTTGTAGTAGAAATTGTTTCTGTTCTGTTTTCATTTGCCAATATTTTTGGATATGTGATAATTCTGGTGATGTCCCAGTACCCTTGAATCATAACTACTCCTTGATACTGAAGCTCTCGTTATTTGAATTCGACTGATATAGAACTAGAACTGGAACAGATCATTTATCTTAATTTCATCAGGTCAACAGTTTTCAGTTTCTTCCTTGAGCATCTAGAACTAGAACTGGAATGGTCATTTAAACAAAATCAAGATGGAGAATGGAGTTAAATTGTGGGGAAAAAATGGAGGGAGTAATCTTAGGTGCAGCTTTTAACAACCAAATAGCTGTTATATTAGAACTCTTCTGATGTGTGGTATATATACCAATAATCTGTCTGATAATAATCCGTTTTAGAGGAAAAGAAACTCAAGCGGAGAAGATGTGTAATGACTCATAATTCAAGTCATGAGTCAGGATTCCAACCGTCCCTTATGGCCTAATGGTTTATGGACTAAATGTCCAAGAGCTGTGTAGTTCTGGCTCTTTAAAGACACTTACTTTCCACTTCACCCATTAACACAAAAGAACTAATAGTAAACACAACACATCCAATAACAAAATGACCAAAAAAACAAACCAACCTCATTTTGAATGGATGTATCCGGTATAGTTTGCATGCAATGTTCTGGTGGACTCCTCTGAGTTGAGATGGGTCATGGGTGGAGAGAGGTTTAGGGAAAAGAAGATGGCTCATCATTAAATGTACCAAATAAATGTTCCAATGTTTGCTGTAATTGTTGGAATAAAAGTCATTCGGCAGAAAGAAATTTTGTTACAATTTAGAAATAAGTTGGGGCCAGAATTGAAACACCCAAGAGTAACTGGTAATGAATGAGACAACCTTTACTATATACTTGCAAATACCAAAGTCAAATTACAATACATAAATGCTTGAATAAATATAATTGCTGAGGTATATGACACCAGGCAAAATTAAAAAATTATTGTTTATAACTCTAAACTTGGAGGCTGCCTGCTGCGCCTCTATTCTTGATTCACAAAGTATGGAGGAACCTGCTATTTACCCCTGCCCTATACAGCTGCAGCTCAGAACTAGTACTTATAGTAATCTCAGTGTTGGCTGGTGCAAACAGCACATCTCCTTCGGTAACTACATCTTTGGATGATCCAATGTGCAGTGTTCCATCCCCAACTAGGACAAGAAAAATGGAGGCAGCAGGGATAGCTGGGAAAACTGCTGATGCCCCTTGGGGAAGAATGCATCGATCAACCTCAAACTCATCAAAAGGTGGAAGATACCTTGTTATATATGGACTCAATGGGAATCCTTTCAAGATTTCTGGGTAGCCCTGGAACAGAAATACAGCTTAAATTTAAGTTCTGAAAATTTGAACCCTTATCACCAACAGGGTCAAAAGAGGAAAAATAAAAATTTTCCAACTAGGTTTTGCAATGTGAGGAAAAGATAAAAAACCCAAGTCACACAAGCTGAAATTTAGTTTCTATCAACAACAATCACTTGTACTTAGGACACATTTCCATGTTACAATTGGAAGGGTAAAAAGATTGATGTAATGTTGCATGTGTATTAATATGCACAATCTATATTATCTATAGCATTAAAATTAATCTCATTGTTTAAGGTAACACATCATCTGAGTGAAAACTTTAAAATTTGCCAAAACACAAAATGAAAATCCAAATAAAAATATTGGTCACAATACTTTACCTGGTTATAAGTGAGCATGGAACAAAGAGTTTGGATATCGCGATGCTTGGGAGTAAGGCCAGCTCGGACAACATTGTCTGAAGTTGCCATGCATTCAATGCACTCACCACTCAGGTATGCATGAGGCTCATTTGCTCCAAGGTACAATGCTTCACCAGGGTTAAGCTGCACATAATTAAGAAAGAAGGCTGATATGACACCAATATCACCTGGATATTGCTTTTCCAAGAGCAAGACCAACTGTTCCTTGTCTGTCAATCGCCTCATCTGATGCAAAGAGAAAAGTCAAGTGCTGTGAATAATATGGTTAAAAATAAGGTTAGAGAATGAGTGAGCCTGGAAGGAAAAAATAACAAATCCAATAATAACATTACATGCATAACTTGAATCCATAAAAGAAAAACACTAACATGCCTGGCCTGGCCAAGAAGTGAAAATGAAAAATCCGCATCTTCAGCCCAAGTTCATCATCCAATAGCATCTATATCTGACACTAGACTGATTTCACATTATTAAGTGAAATTAACTGATCACATGCAAAGTGACAGAGTTTGGTACAGTGTAAAAATGTTTAACTGTTAAATATGGAATATAGGGTTAAGTTGTGAAAGCATCTGCTTTATTCTGAAGTCCGAACAGTAAAAAATACATTAATCTTGCTCCCTTAGACCCTGGACCATAATCATGGATGATCTTTGATTCTTGTTCCAAATTTTTAGTTGTTGGCTGTGAAGGCACGAAAAGTGCAACTTTTAGAGTTGTCTACTGACCTTACTTTCAAGTTGCAGACGACTTTTCAGTTTTGATATTGCTTTAGCTGTCATCTCCTCATTAGCTGACATGAGTTGGGTAAATGTTGAGCGTAGTACAGATTTTACTTTTTCTTCCCCATCTTGCTTGTGGATATTTATAACTCTATTTGCCTCTGCAGTTCCAATCAGTTCCACAATCTCAGGTACATCATGAAACACGTCCTTGAGTTCCTGTGAAGACAGTACCAAGTTGCACCAGGTAAATGACAATGTTTATTAAAACATATAAACAATGCACATATACATAGAGAAGAGGCAAAGTTCACTTTGTAAACAACATCCAAGTTTTTGGAACACCAAAAGAAACAACAAGCACCATGCTCAGTGCATTTTGAACATTATTTGCAAAATAGGCAGAAGAAACCTGGTTCCAGAAAATGGCAACTCAACCACCATTACCAAGAGAGAGATTTGGAAAGAAAAGAAAAAAGTTCTGGCAAAAACTCAACTGATTAGTGTACTACCTCAAGACTAATGAACCCACACAATGCCTTGAACTCTGTTATTGCCAAAGCCATCTCAGGTTTGTGATTGCCATCCTTATAAAGATGTGGCTGCAACTTAAACAATTCCTTTGCCAATTCCTTATCTGGATGTGCCTGTATTGACAGTGCTTTTGCCACCGAAAGTACCTATAACACACCAGATAATCATAATAATCACACACAACTTGGAAATGAGAAAAGACGTTAAAATCCAAGTCATCTGCCAATATAAAATATATATATATATTTATATATGAATCGAGATTTATTTCTGTTCAACTCAAATTTGAATAAAATTATTATAAAAATCTCCAACGTTTAGAGACAAAACCTATCAGATAAGGATGGTTCAATTCCCGTAATTTAAAGACAAATCTCTGCACCAGAGAAGACAATTCTCGCCACCATCTTATTGCACAAAGACATTCCAAAGTCATGAGAGCTCATCACACATTCCTAATCCAATTTTCGTAAGTAAAAGATGGCAGCTTTGCAACTTGAATTTTAGGTCCTTTCAGACTCAAAAATAATTTTGAGACAGGTAAAATGGAAGAAAAATGGTCTGCTGGAAACCAGATTCAGAAAACAAGGTTCAACACTACTTTTTCCTCAACTTCTAGAAAATTCGGTGTCTTGTTAATTGATTTTTGTTGTTTCAGCATATAGATTTAATAGTATCCCTTTGATCTTTTAGTCTAAAATAATTTAGGATAAAGCTTGTAATTTATCATGAAATTGTCTGGTTTTAAAATCCATGTACAATAGTATAACAAAGAAGAAACGCTACTAAAAAAATTTCTGTCTTTTTAAATCAAAGGAAAAAAAAAAATCAATTTCCATTCAAGTTGAAGTGACACTCATCCAACAACCACCCACCAAAAAAGAACTAGAAAACTACAAGAAAAAGAGAAAGGAACGCTCTCAACTAAAATACGAAACTAAGAAGAAATCAACACACAGTATGCATACTCATTTCTAGACACCAACAACCAAAGAAAGAAAACCATTAGATAAAGGATTAAAATTCTAATTCCACTCCAGTGGAAGCCAAAATCCGAGCAATAAAGAACAAATATATGAATCTAACCAAAATAAACAAAAAACAGAAAATTCTGCAGAGAATTGCATGACAGACATACACCGACATACCTTGAACAGGAAAGGCAGATCACAACCCCACTTCCCCAATACCTTGTTCCCAAGCACATTTGGGTTCTTCCCAATCCACTCCTTCAAAGTCACCCCCTTTTCCTCCTCCGCCAACAGCACCCCACTCCCCATCACAAAACTGGGGCCGGAATCATGGGTTCCCATCCACAATTCCGCGTAAGGAGCCTTCGGGTCGACCTCCACCCCAGAATTCAAAGCCAACAGCCTCGCCACCTGCGAGTCCCCCCCGCATCTGCCCCAATCATAACGCTGCACCCACGCCCTCAACCGCACAATCCCATCATCACTCTTCCCATTCGCCATGATGCGTCGAACAATGAAAGACTACGAGAGAAGAGGGGGAAATGGGATGCGCATTGGGGGATTGGGTTTGCAGGTTTTTGTAGAGTTTGAAAGGGTAAGAAGAGAGAGGGAAATGAATCGGAGAAAGGAGAGAGAGAAGAGGAGAGTAAAGACGAAGAATACAACAGATGGGAAGTTGTTCTGACCATGACTGCTTTACAGTTTCTTCCTTATCTCCCAATTTTCTCCGTCTGCACGAAACTTCCTTTTTTTCGCGCCCCCGTTTATACGATTCTCTTTTTTTTCCTTTTTTTTCTTTTTCTTGTTCACATGTATAAAAAATAATCATCCCTTCTTTTTTTTCTTCCACATCACTTATATATAATGTAATTTAAACTTAAAATTTTTTATTTTTAATAAAAAATAATTATTTTTTATTTCATTTCAACCACACATGATTTAATTTAAATTTAAAAATTTTTACATTCAAATAAAAAAAATAAGCATTAAATTTTTTTTTATTTGATCACTCAGTATTTGAAAGTTTATTCAATAATCGATTAACTTGAATTCGAGAAAATAAAACCGAACGAGGAGTAAAACCCTCCTCCATAAATTTTAACAAAACAGCATTTTCAAAATTTACAAACCAAAATTTTTAATTAAACTAAAATAATTCCTACAAACTCATCTACACGCAAATGAGCACTAGGTTGATCGGTCGTTGGCACGATTCTCTAATTTTCCTTTTTTTGGTACATCACGATTCTCTTGTTTTTTTTTTTTTTTTACAAGGTAATGGTTAAGAAATTAGTTTTTAATTAGTTGTTAGTAATTAGGGATTCGATTCTCAGATCGGATGAATATTTCATTCCTTTAATAAAACGCATGGCCATAAAATCGTTTTGGTGGAGTTTAAATTTTCAAGATAGTGATAAACCTCAAAACCCCAACCACCTCATTTCAGCACTTTAACGCTTGGAGTCGAACCATTAGCATTAAAGATTCGATTCGACTCTCTATTTATTATTTCAACATAACGACAGCTATTAGATGACCGATAAGATATTTCTTTAAAATATTTAATAATTAATTTTTTGTTTTTCTTTTTTTTTTTGATAGATGATAA